GGATTGGTCCTTATATCTTGGAGAGTGATTTCAGATGCCAAATGAGAATAGCACACATTGGTAATGAGACAGTTAAACTATGTCTCAGTTCAGTCCTGGAGGATGCATTGTCTTGAGCTTCATTATCAATTATCAATTGCAATTCAGCAGACTCTCTGTCTAATCTCCCTTTGAAATTCCTTTGTAAGAGCATTGCTACTCTTAGGTCAGCAACTGAATATTGTAGTTTCTAATGTCAGACATGTTCATTTATTCTTTGCATCCTCTGGACTGAATCCTCCTGGAAGGAACTGAGACCTAGGTTTCCTGTCTCACTACCAGTGCTGGTATCTCCACACCTCCTACCCCTCTGCATATCACACCTAATCCAATCAAGCCTGCTATTGTCATTCCCCTACTATTGCCATTCAGCATCTGAAATCACCTTTATAAAGTTTATATCTTTGATACCTCATGTTACATTTTATGGCATGCAAGGTCTTGCCCAACAAAGTGACATGTCAGATCCAGCCCTCATAACAAATGAGTTCAACACCTCTGGCTTAAGAGGGCACGCGTTTCTTTTTCTGAACCTTCAAAGACAATGAGTCAGAATTATCTGATGTTCATGATGAACATTTCTTCTAAACCTACAAGTGAACATTCTGTCAGATACTATGTTTTTTTTAAATTATTTATTCTGACACAAAACAAGCATAATTTAAATGCAGAATTCATTCCTTTTTGGTAACATGTGACTAGGGCATAATGTCATTCTACCTGACTGCTGTGGTCATCTTTGAAGGCCCTTCTTTGGGTGCTCCTGTCTTCTGAGATTAAGCTCAGAAGGTTAAGAAGCATGAGCAAGACTTCTCTACTTGCTGACAAGTCATTCTTGTTTTGGGATGCAGGTTACATGGATGACTAGCACCTTAGATGGTGTTTTAAACAATTCAAAATTCTTCTAGAAGAAAAAAATAGTCACCTATTCATATACTGCTGAACATGTGAAAGCTGCTTAGTGCACTGTCAAAACTTCAGAGGAGGATTACTTAGATTAGCAAATTTAATTTTGAAGATTTTACAGCCTCTCTTGTTTTTGCTCCTGAGTGAGACCAAGCCAAAGCCAAGACTTCAGGCCAAAGGATTTGCCACCCTGAGTGCAGGGCTGGAAACTGAAATCCCCCATGTGTAAATAAGGATTTCTCCTAAAGCTGCCTTCTATTTGTACAGCCATAGAATGTAATCAACACAACAAAGTGCCCCCAATTCAGGCTCCTGTTGATTCGCTTAGTATCCAAGAATACATTTGAGCCTACAGAGATAAATGTGAAGCGGTCCTACAGCAATATTCTTTCATAAAGGTATCTGCAGTCATCAAATCAAGTGGTTTGGTCCTTAAAGCAGCATGTCAATATAGGCATGTACAAAATTTAGTAGCAGACAAAAGCAGCATGTGTTAGAACTCTGAAGTAAACATTGCAACCTTATCCTGGAACATAAAACCAAGCAGCTCTCTTTCCTTAACTCCATAACTTATCTAGGGGAAAAAGAAACGGGTAATGGCTGAATGTGACTAAAACCAAAATAAGTTTTAAAAAGCATAGTGCAACTGACATGAATTTTAATAATTTCACTTTTAAAAATGTAGAGGAGACACATACTAACCTAAATGTCAGCAAGTGTGGAAAACAGAGTATGTTACAGAAATCGTTTTGCATAGCTGACAGCCAAGACAAAGTTTAACACATGCTTACAAGAAGTACTTCCTAATTTCTTCTGCCAGTGTGCAAGCGTTAGTTCCTAGTTCAATTTTCTAGTTTAATTTTCTAGCTTTTGACAAAAAATAAAGGCAAAATCAAGATAACTTTAAAACCGTGCCAGTGTGCAAGCGTTAGTTTCTAAGGCAAAATCAAGATAACTTTAAAACCGTTAAATATAACCACAGATCACTAAAGAAGCCTCAGGACCGTGGAAGAAAGTCTAAATAGCTGAACTTAAAAATACACTTTTTATAGAAGCTTATCAATTCCTATGTAGGTCTTGAAAGAAAAAAGTTTCAGAATGAACAGCAGGCAACCCAAACACAATTTTAAGCCCTTGTTAATGTACCTATCTGTGCTGCTCAGGACTACATGCTGCTGCTCAGAACTATATACTACAAGTAGTGGTTTGGGTGTTCATATCAAGTTACATATCCTTTTGTGGGAAATTTATGCTTAAACTCAAATTTAGTTGTCCAGATTAAGTAATGAGCAACAAGCCATTTCGGACCCCCAGCAATAAGAGTCTAGCAGTTATTTCCTATAAAATGATTTGCTTATGAAATAGCTCAATCTGTTGAGTATTTTTACAGCAGATGTTTCTCCAGCTCCCTACAAAGGGAGGGAAGGGAACTCAGCACAAGGGTATGTGCACCTTTGAATGTTTGAGACACAGTACTTTGGAGTTGACCACGTAGGATAGTGTGATGTTGCTAGGCACTGGAACAGTCTTTGGAAAATACTGAATGACTTGATTACCTTGTCCAAAAGGAATTTGGTATTCCCAACTGAAGACAGTGAAATTTTATGAGAACCCACAAGAACAAAGTTGCTTGTGCGCACAGCATTGGGCCCACCTGGACTGGCCATGGCTGTAAGAAAAACCACCCCAATACATTTACTTAATTTGTAGTTCACCTTTCTCATAGAGACTTAACAGAATTAGAAAAGAATGCAATGGAAGCCAATACAACAGATATCACAATGCAGTAAAACTGGATTACAAAACTGGAAAACAATGAAATAGAGAACAGTATAATACATCCAATAAACCATACAAAAGCAAAATATTAAATTTTGTAGATATTAAAACTACAATCCTATTTCCTGTGTTAGCATTTGCATTGGGCAATCCTAAGGAGTTCTCTTGAAAAATTCTGTAGCATGCAACATAATAAGAACTAGCAATGCTAGCAGCAGCCTACCCCCCACCCTCTGGACATTTGCTATGGAACAGTTATGAATCACAAAACCGCATTAAGTTCTTTGCTCAAATACTTGGAAGTGACAAAGGTTAGCAAGCTGTATAGGAAGTTTCCCCTCTCCTTATTTGCTTCTGTATATGATATGAATCATTATGGGGAGGGGTCACAACTGGCCCCAATAGGCACCTTATCTTGAATGTGATGATGTAGAATACAAAGTAGCCCCATCTGTGCAGCCCCGATGTCCCACAAACCAGGTCTTTTGCCTTTAAACTGTACCCCAGATGAGGATCTTAGGGTTTTAGAATGAGGAGCTTAGGGTTTTGCTTACCTGGAGTATGGAGATAACTCTTCTGCAAGAAAAAAAAATCATGGAAACAGGTTATTTGGGCTATATTTTAGATCAAAACATTTGAGTAATTTCATTATATTTCTGGTTAATTTCCTATAATTTTTATCTGAAGTATATAAAAACAAAAAAAAGCTCAGACTCTAAATGTGATTGTATGTCAGCAGAAGAATCAGCCATGGTCACAAGCCAATTGTATCCTTCTAATGATATGTCAAAATTTGGGGGAATATTAGTACTTACGGTAGTCATAGATGTCAGTAATCGCTTTGGAGTAATGGCCTACAACATCAAAGAATAAGTGCCAAATAAATTCAAAGTTAATATATTATATAGTTAGTTGTAACAGAAATCACAAATAAGCCTTTTCGTTTTTAAATAAAATCGAACCAATGAAGACTGAAAAACAGGTTTGACAAAATCCAACATCCAGAGTACCGTTTTTTTAGCAAGTGGTCCTTGGAACCAACATACACACTTTGTGACCAGAAAGCACTTCCACAAATAAATAGGAACAGAATTTCCTTGGCGGCAACATGTTTCTGATCAAGGCAACTCCAGAGGGCTTCCTGACTTGGCTTCTTTGGGGTGGGAGTACTACTGCTGCATGGGGGAGCTTGGATCCCAGTCAGAGAAGAACTATGGTACAGCAGACTAATGCATCTTAGCTGTCCTTATCCTCGGTACAAGCTGCTGTTTGAAATCTCTTGCCTAAACTGTAGTTATGAACCAATGTGTTGTTTGCTGGTGTGGATTGTAGGGTTTAATACATACATAAATTGCTTTGAGGACCTGTTCGCAGGTTAAAGACAAGGTATTTAACAGCAACTTGCACTGGATTATCTCGGATCTCTTGGAGGACCACCATACCGGCTTGCCCATACAGTTTTGCTCCTTTGAAGTAGTGCACAACTGTGTGTCGAGCTGATGCATGTTGTTGACCAAGAGAAGGACTTCTGCTGATCCAAATCCAATAGGGCTGATTTACCACTTGGCATCTCACCCGTTTCCACCAGCTCCACAAAGAACCACACTGTACTACACATTCCATACTAGCTTTTAAGCATTTGCAGTTTTGTCCTCTTGGAACATGTATATGCTCCATTTGCATTGGGCAATCACTAGCCTTGCAATTTTAAGAAACCTTGCCATTGACCAATATGAGCCCCACAAAACAAGTACTACTGAAGAGGGGAAAGTCTCAGACTAGACACAAGCAAGAAAAGCATGACCCTTTGCAAGCTTGCTAGCAGAGAAAGCTAGCGCCATTTTACAGTGGGTGTCATGCCATGCCATTTCATGCCATGCCAAGAGGCTCTTCGTTATTCAAGCCTGTTCCACCTTAACTATTCATAAAGGCAGCATGGCAAATTGACTTAGTACCAATGAAAAAGCCTTAGTAACAAGATGTCAGCCTGAACAAAAGTTGATCAATTTTAAATTCTACCAGTTTAAAATTAAGTTTCTCCCACTTAGTGCTGAATCCCTTTGGTACTGCTCAAAGTCACCAAGGCATTACAGTTGCCTCTTACCTTAGACTTAGCTGACTTTTTCCTTTTATCAGTGCCTGCTGTTTCTTTCCTCTGTACCTAACACAGAAAAGAGAGACTTTTAAGCCTGTTGCTCCCCCAAGTGTTCTCTCAAAAAAGATGCAAAGTAGAAATACTTACCAAGCTATACACTTCAATGTTTATCTCAAAGTCACCGGACACATCTTGCCTTTAGAAAGGGGAAAGGGGATTAGATTTAACTCCAAGTATAAAGCAGTTCTGGAATTTTACATTTTACAGCATAGATAATACAAAGAGACTGTGCTTAACTCGCTTTTATCCCTGTACTCAAAATGGCTAATTATTAGGCAATAATAATAATAATAATAATAATTAAAAAAAACCTTTATTGTCATTGTATTTAGGCAATCTATAATAATAATATACTTTATTGTCATTGTACATAGTACAACGAAATTAAAGATGCAATCATTTTGGTGATCTACAACAATATTCATATACACTCATACACCATTCACAACTGTCCCATAACTCCCTTATGGTTCACATAGCAACTTAAACCACCAATGTCACCCAAATTCCAATTTCATTCTGCATTTAAGGCAATAATAGCTCTCGAATAAAAACTATTTTTTAATCTATTTGTCCTTGCTTTAATTTAATCTACAGCATATGGGATATATCCCCAATATACTCTAACATTCCATATTCTTCCTCTACAAATTTTAGGAATTGTTTTAGAAGGAGTTTTCTTCTTTTGACCACCACAAGGGACTTGTGCAGTTTTCACCAGAGACAAGTAGCGCCTGCCCACAAGTGAGCAGCATAAAAGTAAAATGCAGTTTGGCAGAGTGCCAGTCAAGAGAGCACGCATGCAAGTACAGAACTGCTCTAAGTTCCCAACTGTAGAACACCAGGCTATTGGGGTTGCATCTTTGAAGTGTGGAGTGAAGGGTACCTGAGACAGTGATGTGTAACCTGGAGGGCAGGCAGCAAGAACTACAGAATTATGTGCCAGGCTAACGCAAGGCAACCACAGCTAATCCACCTTTTGCAAGTGTTAAAAACATGGTGGGAAAAAAAACACATTATTATTTGGGATCACTAAAAAACAAGCAGTTAAACAAAGAAGTACTTACAAAGTAAATGTTGTTGAAAAGGTTAGAGCATCTCCATTCAGGGAGTTTGCAATACTTGCTAGTGGAGTTGCAACCATGTTTTCTGCTCCTGCTCTCAAAATGATTATGTAGTGGTAGGTTGCTGTTTCTGTGAACAGATTTAACAGCTGATCATAACCCAAGATTTACAAAGCAGCTAATACAAGAGCACCGTTGGACTCAACTGTGCAACTGAACAACAATACAAGAGCTTAAGACTGAAGGGAAAATGTTCTGTTCAGCACTTTTGTTGCTAAGCTACTTACAAAAATTAATGAAGTTGCACTCAGCTCGGAAAGAATAAGGAATGCTTATCCAATGGAGGGGGGGGGGGAGAGAATCAGGAGGTGAAGCTGGAAGTTTACAGGGACTTCAGTGCCAAACGGGACCAAGATTAACCTCTACAGATTCTGCTGAAGAACAGAGGTGCACCAAAGAAATGTCTTCTGCAAGTTATCAGAGCACAAGAGCCAAAGCAAAAGCTAAGTATCAGAGCACCACCTGCCATCTGTGATAGATGCCTGTTCCCCTGCCCAGAAGAGTTGAAGGGGTTTTTCCCACAGCCATTGTTCAGATCTTGAGCACAAACAAGCAGAGCTGAACAGAAGGAGGGCCACTACAATTTAAAGTACAGCAACAGGGGTTACCTGTCTTCTGGGAAGGACCACATACGAAGTCAGCTTTTAGAGGTAGACACATATCGGACAGAGTAACAGATCCCCTGGATGGGGAGAGTCCAGATACAGAACCAGGTTTGTTCTTCTGGCTTTGAGGCCCTTCGTTTTTTAGTTTATTCAGCTCTTCTAACAGCACTGTTCTTTTTTCAGCTGTAGAAGCAATAACTGGGTTAGAATTAAGATAATTTCCACTGTGCATATACCAGGTCTTGACAAGAATTTTTTGGTTCTAAGAGCCAACCCAAGAATTTAGGACCAAGACTCATTTTTCAGCCTCTTAAAATTTTTAATTTAGTGACCACATTTTATCCTAATCCTAACTTCGTGCAGTTTTATTAGTTATGATAATACTGTTGAAGTATATAAACACATACAGGTGTAACCAGCTGCTATCACCACAACACAAAGTTAACTCTAAACCTAGCCTAACCTTTCCACTTGCTCATAATTCCATCATTGCTTTAAAAAAACTCCATTCAATTGCCCTGACGTGGATAGCCCAGACAAGCCCGATCTTGTCAGATCTTGGAAGCAAAGCAGGTGCAACTCTGGTAAGTACTTGGATGGGAGACCTCCTTGAAATATCAGAGGCAGGGGCAGGCTTTATTCAGCTACCTCTCTGAATATCCTCCAGGCCCCCAGTAGGGGGCCAGTCACCAGAGGTTGCCATAACTTCCAGGTGCACACACACTCAGACACATGCACATATTTTTTTTAAAACTCCATTCAATTGAATATTGGACCCAGTACAGACGGCAACTGCCTTACAATGAATTCATCCACCATCAATGAATGGTGTAAAGTTAAGTTTATATATGAACAAGCAATGACAAGACATTCACACATTTATTTTTACATAAAAACACAACATTCTGAAGTGAAATTAACCAGGCCATTTTAGGTTGTATATAGCCAGTTGTTTTGCTCAGTCTCTGGCAATTACCCTATTACAGTCCCCATCCGGTGTGGCTTTTTGGTGGTGAAAAATGACCCCTTCCTCACTAGTGGAAAAAATACTCATTCATACTATAGTAATTGCTGAAATACCTGGGTGCCACAAGAACCTGGGGGTTGCTGAACCCTGATGCATACTTTTCAAGATAATCACTTCCGACAAACTGTATTGTCATACCTTATATGTAAGAATTTCCTTATAGGACCAAAGCAAAAGCCACCTAGGATAATAGTTTCACACAGTCAACCAGATTGACCATCTCAGTTTGTACCCAACACCAAAAGATGTATTGCTACTATAAATGAGCTTCATTTAGCAAATATCCACTCATTGACCCATCTACTATGTTAATCTAGCTCCTTTTAAAGAGCTGATACTCATCTGGTGGAGAATCATATGTGTGCAGCGGCTTTGATGGCTTGTGAACAAACACTGGCCAAATAAAAGAAAATCCACTCACTAGCAATGAGAAGTAATCTCTCAGCTTCCGCTTCTTCTTGTGATCCTTTCCCATGCTCTTCGTCAATACAGCAGTTCAGAGCCTGACTTGCTTGGTGTATCACAGTCTGCTGCAGGTTGATTTCATTATTCAGCTCCTTATGTGGGCAAACAGCAGATTTAGTGTTAAGTCCAAAAACTCCCAAAATGTGAACAGACACCCAAGAACCTGTTTTACTAGATTTTCAATAGTGTCGATTCTGTGGGAGATCAAGGGCACATTCACCGTACTGCAGATTCTTCGGAGCTGGATATTCAGGATGGGATCTCAGGAATGGGGAAGGAGGTGTACTGCTGCTATTGACAGCACTTCTCCTACCAAAATTTAATATGTTTAAACATGGTGCCATGAGGAACACATGGGCTGCAGTGCTAAACAGGAGAAGTGCGTATCAAGACCAATACAATGGCAGGCACATGATTGCCAGGTGGACACACCCTTGCTAACATTTAACACTTGGTTTGAAGGGACAGAACTCTGGAACAGAGTAAAGGGATCAGGATGCAGGACTGGACACTCATCCCTTTGCATAAATGAACGCCTTCAATCCGTACCTGTGGCTTGACATCATGGCTAACCCATGTAGCATGGCTAACCTTAACTCTGGGGCTCTCCTAACTAGGCATTCAAGAATACTGACAGCCATTACAACGTAAGCAGTTTTCCCATCCTTGCAGACATGTGAAATGGCTACACAGTGAGAATTAATATTTCATTCACAGAACCTGAAGGGAGAGTTCTAGCTACCTGTAATTTTCGTTTAATGTTAATTTGACCAGAAGTTCCATTCTTTTTCTCCTCAAGCCTGGAGGAAACATCTTCTTTACGAACGATAACTTGCTTTATTGAAGGACGATCCTTTTCTTTAAATCGCTGAGACCGATAGGCATCGATACTTCAAGATAAGAAGTCAGTTTTAGAGAGATGCAGGATACCATATTCAACCTAATACAATTCAAGAAATGCAGAGAGAAAGGACGTAGGGTGTGTGCACACTTCTGGGTCTCTTCTGGCTCTCATGACCTCAGTGGTTTAAAGTTTCCTCTTATAAACAGGGTGGCAATACAGAGGAGCAACATGGATTCCCTTAATATGAGGTCTTGAACAATGGCTAGGTTAATGGATATTCACCACCCCTAAGTGTCTTCTGTTGTTTCAGAAAAAGCTAGACCTGCCCCTCTACTTTCCTTATCTGTCCACTGCCAAACAAGAAACCTGGGAAACCTTGGCTTAGAAGCAGACAAGGCATTTCATTCCTTTCTCAGGTTTTTCTACCACCAACACTTCAGCCGGACCAAATATTGTATCTAGGCCTTCTAGACCAGGGATTACCTATATAGAAGGCTACGCTCCTCTGACAGGGACCCAATGCTGCTTCCAGACTCAGTTCTGCAGACAGATATTCTTTGAAACTTGCTGGACTTTGGACTGTCATCACTTGCAGTGCTTTCCTCACCAACTGATCTACTAGGGGAAGCAAAAACCTAGGGAAAAAGAGACATGTGGGTTTTTGAGCCTTCTAAGAACAGTTACATTCTGAAGCAGACATACATTTCATTACAGCGGAAGGACTCTGGTGTGAATTGTGAAGATATCTGATAGGAATTGCTGGGTACATCTTGCGTGTTTCCCCGAGAGGCTTTGTTACCAATCTAGATAATGCACAACATAATACCAAGCAAGTTAATACTTTTTTCTTACCTCTGGACTTACAACAGCAACAGATTCCGTTAAAGGTGTTAGGAGGGACATTGATGAAATATTCAGCGTCTCTTGTTCATAGTCACTGTCATCTTCTAAAGTCATACTCATCTCTTTTTTAAGTTTTTCTATGTCAGGCCCATCATCCTGAATAACTTCATCAAAGATATCATTTATCACTTTTGAGCTATTCACCTCATCATCCTCCCTTGCCTCAGTCTCATGCTCTTGGCCTGGAAAGTAAAATCCATAATGTCTATGAACCTTTTGTCCATAGTAGTTTGATAAAATGTATTCCGCAATCTAGGATGATTTATAGGATCAAAGCCCCCCTTAAGGTCATTAAATCCCTCATATAATCGTCCCCCCTCCCAAGATGAATATTTCCCAGCCAAATGGTAGAGAACTAGACAACGGCTATATGTTGAAGAACTCTGCCTAAAGCCTACCTGTTCATGCCCCAATATGGCTCCTGATTCTATACAATCCAAAAGTTCCTTAAGTAGATAAGCAAAAAAAAAATTACTTTCCCAAAGAAGAAAGGAGGCTAATTGGTTGATAGCAGGACAGGTCCAGTCTAGACCCCTTTTTGAATATTGGTGCAATAATTAAATGTCTCCATGAATCAGGCATTTGCCCACTGGAATTAAATGAAAATTGGGGCCAAGGACCTTTTCCTAATTTTAATCCCTTAATAACGCATAGAACTTCCTTGATTGACACCTCAGGCCAAGGGGCTATTAAATCAAGAGAAGTAACAGTTGAAGATGGACTAAGCACATTAAAAATTTGGACTGATAGCAGAGTTAATGAACAGTTGAAGATGGACTAAGCACATTAGCATCAGAAAATTGTCCCTTGAAAAGGGTTTTCTGTGCTGCAGGGCAAACACAGCAAGGGATTTAAAAATTTGGACTGATAGCAGAGTTAATAATGGACCAGAAAGCGTTATTATCATTGCTGTTAATAGCTAAATAGCTAAAATGAGACATCCGATTCCTCACTCAAGGCCATCCACCTCATTTTAATCAGTTGGGTAGCCATGAAGAAGTGTGCATACGCATACACATAAAAGCGTATACCTAGAATTAAACTTTCTTAAAGGTGCCACTGGACTCAAACTTTGTTCATCTTAATCAGCTCTATACGTTTCCTTCAGTCCGAACGACTCTCAGAGAATTGATATTGTAGAGTTACTTTTAAACTCATGAATGATGCTTCTGTTGGATATGCCCTCTTCATTAATCTACAGTCACTATTAAATCAGCTATTCCTCTTGGCTTCAAAAGATATCCTGTCAAGGATCTTTCTCACATAGAGACGTCTAAACAGATCTAATACCTCATGCAAGTTATACAAACAGTTGGAAACTGAGTCTGACTGCAGAACCCTGTTGACTAAGGTGTTATGAAGAACAGAACCCATTATAGTTTGAGCCTTATCACTACAGTTAAGAGAACCAGCATAATCGACAAGCACTATTTTGATTTTGGCAGAGAGAAAAGTTTTGTGTTGGAACAAAAGAGTGTTCCAAAGAGAGATCTATAGGGGGAAAAGCACTGGGAGATTATCACTTCCCATAAAATCACCAACTTTTTAAAATGGGAGAAATATTCAAGTGGAGTCAGAATATAATCTATTACGCTGGCTCCTCACAGGGTGCCTGTTGTGGGGAGGGGGAAGGGAAAGGAGTTTGTAAGCCGCTCTGAAATCTACCAAGTTTCGTTTATTGTCTTAGCCATTGGCCATAACAGCACATAGTATATCAAAGCACAACAGAAATATACATCAATAACTTGCAGTAAGTCCTAGACCCCGTCTTATCTTTTTTGCCGCCAGTGCAAACAAAGCCATTCTGCTAGTAACATGTGCATCAGTATCAGAAAGCAAGAACACGGACAAATCCTGCTCAGCAGTTCCATTATACAGAGGTACAATAGGATAAATAAACCTTTGCCTAAGTGATTCGTGCCATAAACATCTCAGAATGTAATGCTTGACATCATCCACACCACATAGGCATATTCTAGAAGCGGTAAGCCGCTCTGAGACACCTTTGGGTAGTGAAGGGCGGGGTATAAATCCAATCTCTTCTCTTCTTCTTCTCCTCTGGGATCACCAGCTCCATCAAACCCTAAATAACTATGAGCCCTCCTATTTGCCAGTTAGCCTCTGTCCAAGCCAAAAGTCAATTTTTAGGGATGTCTATAGTTTCCCTGCTCTGAACCGGATGGCCTAGGGTAACCTGATCTCATGAAATCTGGAAAGCTAAACAGGTTTGACCCTGTTTAGCACTTGGATGGTTACCAAAGACGTTCAGGGTAGATGTGCAGAGGCTGCCTGTTTTCTTTGCTGACTTAAGGCAACATTGTGTCATTGCCCCTCCACATACAAAAAAAATTTGTCCCAACATCAGGGCAAATAAGTTTGTTTCCTTTTACCTTGCACACGTACCACCCCCTTTACGTCTGCATGTTTTTAGATTTTCACCACCAGTACAGGCAAATTCAGTAGATAGATTAGGGAGTTTTAGGGAGTAAAAACAACTTAGACACATTGTGCCAGCCCCCAGAGCACCTTTCCAGCAGTCTCTGCAGTACCATGCATTTCATGCATTACACACTTTTCTATGAGTAATCAGATTCTATTAATTCCCAAAGATATTAGAAAAATTAAAAGGGACCAAAATGGCGGCTAGACAACCAACAGGGGCGGGGGATTTGAAGAGTGCATGCAATTTAGTACTTTTACCCAGAAATTAAGCTAGCCTCATATGGTTCATATCAGGTGGCTGGCTTGCAGAAGACACACGGACACTCGAGCAATATGTTTAACAGCAGGAGGAACACAACAAGCATACCAACTGACCTTTACCAAGTAGGAAGCCTACCTCCAATTACTAGAGCCAGGACAAATTCTCAGCTGCAATTCTTGAGGGATGCTTTTGACTATATCCAGATATTGGTTTGAGCTGAAACTTTATTGCTCTAAATCATCCTAAAGCTCTGGACACTATACCGCCAGTAGAAGATGAGGATAAAATTACTAAATGGGGACTCTAAATGGTTAACAGACATTTGGATTGTCATCCTGGAAAAGTTGGTCAGCCCATTCATTCACTTCACCCTGTTCAGGAACCCTTTTTTAAAAAATAAATCCCTGATCTGGTGAATAGTCTCAAAGAAAAGATGACAAAAAGCAACAGGTACAAGTTGAATGAATTTGGCTAGCAACAAACTGCAGGAATCAGTATAGAACAGATTTCTTCCAAGACGAGAAATATAATGTAAATCAAAGCTAGGAAACAGAGGATAGGATGCAACATTTTGGTGCTCGTGGAATTTTGGTGCTCGTGGAAGAAATGCTGCTCTGTTTTTCAGTATATGAAAATCTGCTCAACCATTTCTGGATTTTCCCAGACATGTGCCTCCAGTATAATAAAGATACATCAAGATTTTGTATGAGACCATTCCTAGTCTATAGTGAAGTTTAGTTCTCTTGACTGCAGAAAGCATTTTTCAGGGATGAGGCTGACTAAATTATGACACAAGATAGAAAAATACAAACCATTTCGTTTGTCAAGAAGTCGTTCAAGCTTTGAATTAGACATTGTTTTTACAGGAGTCTTTGGTGAAGAGATCTGCAGAGGACTAAGTTCTTCTGTCTTGTTCTCTTCTGAAGTGCCTAGACATTTCCAAAAAGAGATCAATAAGGTTTTTTCCAGAACCCAAGTTCGTGGCTTTTACAGTTCTTGAGAATCTTCAGTATTCAAAACCCTCAAGCCCGGTTCCTCTGTGTCAGGTAATGAATCTGGTCAGAAATAGTTTCCAAACTCATTATGAAAAAGGCCAGGATTTGCTCCTTTCCATCCTAAATGAAAGGCATCAAGTCTTGGATTTATACACACACTTCCTTCTAGCCTAGACAGACACTGAATGCATCCATACCCATGATATCCCTGATTCTGCTAGCCATCTCTACAACTGGTTCCTTTTTCATACCAAGTTCAGAAATTGTCCGAATAAGCCCTATTTAAATAAACACCAAATGTCCAGAAGATTCAGGAAAACCTTACTTTTATTTATTTTTGTAATGAGAGAAATCATCCATTTACACCTACCAGACTGATGCTACGTTCATGAGCTAGCTAGCAAATGGTCCATGGGGTCGCGAAGAGTCGGACTCGACTGTGCGACTGAACAACAACAAAAAGCTAGCAAACAGACTTATTTCATGTCTCACTCATTCTGCCCAAAGCAACAAGTAATTGGTTACCAGGTATGTCCTAACACAGAATAGTTACCATCCCTTCTACCACACAGGAAGTAAGAATAAATCCACATTCTTATATAACCAGTAGTTACATTGGAAAGAGATGCCAAGGCCTGGAATACAGCCTAGATTTTTTTCCTAAGCCATCTACAAGGCCACAATCAAAGCAACACTGTATTTGTGCTTGTTAAATCACAGGTCTGCAACCTATGGCTCTAAAGCAAAATGCAGCTCAGTAGGGAACTAAATATGGCTCTAAAGAAAACCAAATATTTATGTTAAAGTCTATTGGAGGGATAGCTGGAGTGCTAGAATCACCAGTATGTTAAGGGAATGTCAGGAAAATATTTTCATGGGACTATAGGGCTTCTTAGAAATACTTAAACAGAAAGCAAGATAATAGCTGGGGTGCTAGAAACACCAGTATGTTAAGGGGATGTCAGGAAAGGACTATAGGGCTTCTTAGAAATACTTAAACAGAAAGCAAGATATAGGGTGAACAGCTGCCAATAACCCCAATGCTAATCATGCACAAATTTATGTCAGCACACTAACAGATTCATGCAGGGTCCTTCTCCTACGTACATTTCCTGTTGTGAGACTTCCTAACAAAATAGTGTGTTCAAGCTAAAAAAACTTTATGGATTATCAAACCTATCAATCATCAGTAATGTTTTCAGCTACGGGAACAGGCCCTCTTACACAGGGTTCGTTTTTGTTGCCTTCTTTCTCTACATTTTGACAGTTTGGCTCTTTAAATTTTAAAAGGTTGCCAAGTCCTGGACCTCAGATTCATAAGCCATTTTAAAGGCAGAGCACTCTCACCTGAAGATTTGCCTTCTCCTACTTTCTCAAGCGTTGCAGACTTTTCTTCTGGAAAATGAGAGGAGGCATCTGAACTGGGGGGGTGTTTGGAGCTAGTTTGGACTTGGCTTTCCTGTAAAAACCACAAACACACCGAACCTATTAACAACCAGTGGAACTAAAAACCAGTGAAACCTGGGTGCCATGACAACTCCAGAAGGTATGTTACAATCCTAAAATATGAAAACTGCCTTCTCTCCCTCTATTTCACTGTTTTATACTTGTTGTGAACTGCCCAGAGAGCTTTGGCTACAGGTCGTATAGAAATGAAATAATATTCTCCCCCTAAAGTTAGATTATACAAAACAGAAGCGAGCAGGCTCAGTACAGTAGACCTTCTCCCTAAGTACTGTGGTGTCATGATGGAATTGTGAAGATTATAAAGTACATTGTATTGGTGAAGCTTGTGACAATGTTTATACCTGCAGAGAAAGGTACCTGACTTATATGATTACATCTCAAGTAACCTGAATGTTAACTCCACAGGACTGGTAGATGATGGCCTATATGACGATTTTGTTCGCTGCCCTATGTGGAACTACTTGGCACAAAGGAAAGCACAAAACACATGTTGCTACAGTGCACTTGCAGAGGTGTTTCTATCATTTACACATTCAGTCCAAAGAAGTTTCAACATGTCACCTGTTTTGGTTCTGGACCTTTGTTCACTCCTCTTTCAGCACTCCATAGCTTGCCTCTGTCAAAGCGACCTCTGATGGATGCAAGTTCTCTTTCACGTTCCTGAACACAAAATAAACATAACCTGAATTTTCACATCGCCTCAGCAGATGTCCAAATGTGAGCACTATAAATATTAAGTATGTAAAATCATACCTGTTTGAGCTGCTGTGCTAGATTGGCAGTTGAGGGTGCTTCATTCTGTCTCAAGAGCCTTTCTTGGATTGTCTTTGTATTTGGAGTGATAATGGGAGTTCTGTGTCCTCCACTTACAACAGGACTATGTGCACTATGTTCCTGGCAGCGCTCTCCAAAACGCTCCAGAAAAGGCTTAATGCCTGCTCCTCCTACAAGAACAATGGGTTTTGCTTTATTAACTAGATGTGTTTAAATGATGAACCTAATGCTCAAACACAGCATGAAGCTCTTTTGGAAAGTCTTCATTCTGCACCATACATCTTCGTTTTGCACCACTGTATTCCAGAAGCCCCAAGAAGATCTCCACAGCTTTTATACAAATGTTTTCAAGCTGTTGACCATGTAGGCCAACTAATACAGAGCAAAAGGTCAGTCAACAGCTAAGTGCCCAGGCAGATCTACTGTAGAAGGGCATTTTGAGCTTTCTGCAAGGGAAGTTCAAGCATTCCAACAGAAGCTGCAAATCTACATAAGAGTGCTTTGGCCAAACAGATAGAACAGCTTGTAATGTAAATAAGCCTGAACACAGAATGTAAAAAGCAAACAGCACTGAAAAGGTTGAGTTACATTCATTAAGTGCCCTCAATAGATATACATACAAGGGGAAAAAATAAAATAAGGCCAAATGGCCATTAAATTAAAGAAACACAGCCTGTGATATTTTTATGTCAGGCTCAATATAAGAGCAGTGGCCACATGAAGCAGCAGTAACAGGAACCTATCAATCCTCCTAGCATTCCTATGGTAACTTCTCTACCACACCTGGGATGTTCACATAGCAAAGCCAGGAGGATTGGCGTCACTGTACTCATCTTGTATACCAACAGAGTGTCGTACAAAAGTGCCATAGACTACATTCTTGCATCTCATGGCTTTTCAGCTGCACTGTTCCAAGATTGTCTTTTTCCTTAAGCATATATGCATTAATAACACAAAGTTCGGTTTAAGGTGCCATAGTATTTCTTTACCAGTAGTAGACTACCACATTAAGTGTACAATGTTTAATTTTTCCTTGACCTACCTACACTGGCTGAAAGTGCACAATAATGGGACTGTGTAAAATTCTCACCACCATACAGGCAAATGCTACAAGTAAGAATCCCCCCATGCGGCTTTACATGCTCACTGGTAGATTAACCCTTGGTAAATAGTAAGCCACCCTTTGATTCTGCTCAGTGCAAAATTATATTTATAGTGTATTATGCCCATGTTATAACGTATTGTGGCACATTTTTCTATGTATTTAAAGCACTGTACTATAAAACACTACATGCTGAAGAGTCATTTCAAAGATTAAAAGCACAGTAGGCTATTAGTTTATATATGCAGATATTAATCTTACATTATAAGCAACTAACTCTACCACAAAACTGCTTTCCATGGGCTCTGTTTTGTGCTGCATCTCAGAAATGTGAAGCAGGCAACAGAGATTATCATCCTAGTTTATCTAGCAGTTTGATCTAAGGGGTAAGATGTAAGTGTACATGAAGAATTTTATGGCACAACTTCCTTCACCATTTCAACCATGTTAAATCTGGAGTTTCCATTCAGTTTCTCCTTAAAGTGTTCTGTCTGCAACTAGGTGCTGGGTGAAAAAACCTTGCTTATTTGAAGCACTATTTAAATGTAATGTATGCACAGCACTATGAAGGCTGATAAATTGCATTACAGTAAACTGAAATCAGTAAAAACTCTGATAACTGAAAACTTGCACACCTTGCATTTCACAAAGGCACAGTTCACTCTCAGATATACCCAGCAGATATGTTATCACTTAGGCTACTCAGCTAAGATCCACACCATGTTTTACAGAAATCCATTTTCTGTGCAAAATTTCTAACACAATAATACTCTGTTTTACTTAAGTCACCTGGCGTGGTTGGCTTATCCTTGTAGTCAAGTTGTGCATGTGTTCCTTTAACTGGCTCTTCTTTGGCTGGAAGTGGTTGTGATAATACCGGTTTCAAAGATGGTTTAAGAACAGGCTTTTCTTGTGGAAGCTGCAACTTTGGTACTGCAGTATCTTTACCATGATGGTTACTTACTACCGAAACGTTTTTGGAATTAGCATTTCCCTGGAGGGAAAGGAAAAAAGGACAGTTAGTTCAACTCAAAAGATGGCAGTACAGATTTCCTTACATAATTCATTAAACAGGGGAAAAATGTGTTTCCCAAAGGTCACTGATCCAGAATGACAGCTTGCACTGAAAAAACTCTGCCTTTGCTTCAGTCCATTTCAGTTCGCATCAAGGCAGCTTTAGCAGGGATCTGTAAAGTGGATCAGCACCTTATACTACATTTATGCATCAAGATACTTTTTCAATATTTGCCACTTACAAGACTGACTAAGCAAATGTTTCACATATATACTTCAATACAAAATCATTCACGTATATACAAACAGACAATTGTTCATACATTTTTCTCTTTAAGGCATCTCAGCTGTAAAGAAACCCCCCCAGGAATGATTCAGATTACAGTTCCACTAAATTAGATTTAAGGAGGCAGCAATACTGTTTTAACTCCTCATCGTACGGTACTCATTGTATAGCATGCCAGAAATTTCCCCCCCCCAAAAATCCCCCACAATTCTGAAGTTTATTCAGAAGTCCCATAGCATTGAAAGAGGCTTACTGCCTTAAAATATGGCTAAGAGCTGCAGCCTAAGATTGTTACAATGGAGAGTGAACCCCAGCAATCTGGACAACAAATGCATGCATCCGATGAAATATGATCACTTACCAATATCCCAGAGATTGCTGACTTATTCACCGATGACTCAACAGCCCTTTGGGAACAGGATGCAGCATCCTGTTTCACACTGCCACCATTGATTCTAGCAGATGCTCCACTTGTAGTGGACAATTTGGATAAACAAGTAGTACCAGGCTGTTCTTGTGTGTTGTTTTGCTTTGCAGATGGATGACTTAGGTCATTTTCCCAGGAACCAATTGTAGCAGCAAGGTTAGCTAAACGGCCTCTTCTCCCAATTGGGGTCTCAGATGTAAGGGGTAGTTTGGGAGGAGAAACAACACATTCTTTTGATTGGATGGGAAAAGTGCAAGGACTTTCAGGCAAATCTGAAAATAGAGATCATACAGAGGATCAGCGTTAGATGTGGCACTTGCTTAATAAAACAGTTCTTGCTATAAATATTAATGAGATGCAGAACATGAAGTACAGCAGAGTACACAACTGAGCTAGTCCCTGCACCCGCCACTACCTCCTATGGGAGAATACAGGACCTGACAAAAGAGACAATGGCCAGCCTGTGCCCTATGAAAGGGAATGAACACACAGATCTCACACACACAAAAGTTGGAGCTATGGAAGAACTTGCATTTCACACACAACTTTCATACCATAAAGGCTCTTTTAAAATATTCTGGATTTAGTCGATATAGGCAAGGAACCTAAGCCGTCTCTAACTACATGACACAGTCTTGATGCCTGTGTCATTACATTTTTATCTTGCCCTTTTTTCAAGGAGCTTAGAGTAACATACATGGTTCTTCCTTCCCCATTTTATATTACTGGAGTGTTGTAACATTTGAGTGCCCTTCTTCAAAAAAAAGAAAAAAAGAAATCATTATTCTTCAGGGTGTGGGGGGAGGGAATGGTTTGACTACTACAGTTCAGTCATCAAGCACTGGAATGGGGGTGGGTGGTAATGGGCGGGACAAAGAAAACAGGCTGAAACATCATGCTTAAGGAAATGGCAGACTCAAAGTCAGCTTCCAGAAAAACACTGGCGTAAAAGTGGTCTCAAAAGAACCAGAAAAAACGGTGGGAAACAAAACACCCAAAGTGAAAACTAAAGGCACAAAATGCATGCACAAATCAGCAAATAAGCCGAAGAAGTATGGGGTCAGAGCCGATGGGGGGGAAAAGCATGGGAAAGCCCTAAGAACTGCTTCTAAATTCAGGCAGCAAAACCTTTGTAAGCTGCAAAAGAATTGGTTCATTTCTCATAGCTTTCAAGCTGTTAATGTGCTGCAAAATTATTATTTTTAAAACGTATATTTTTATTGATTTTTTGCTTTTTGGTTTTACATTGCATATTATTCAACTTCTTACAATTTTCCTTCCCTCCCTTTCCTATCTTCATGTTGTCCTTAGTCTTTTAACCCCAGCCATGGCCACAAAGTCTGAATCTTCCACTGAATGTCTTTTCTTCCTTCCTTTGATATCCTGTCTAAATAGGTCTTCCATCTATTCCGAACTTCTGCAGACTTTCCTTCCCATGTTGTTTCCTTGCATAAAGTTGCAATGATGTCTGACTGTGTAACGTGCTGCAAAATTATTAATATGGTTATGTGTGGGCAGATAAGCATAGTTATTAGCATATTTGGTAAGTCAAAGCAGACTACTTATATTCCTCCTCCAGAAAAAGTTATCCATTTGGATAAACAGAAGTATTTATGAATGCCATGAAATGAGGCCCCTTTTTAAAGAATGCAAAGCAAAACAGAAAGACTGAATTTCTACCTTATGTCATATTTCTACATGCTGCATCATGTAAAATGAAGCACATACCACTGTCCCAATGACGTCGTTGTTCAGCCAGCTTTTGCATACGTGTTTTAATCGAACCAGCAGAAACCGATTCAGTTTCATGGTTCTGCTCTTCTTCCTCAGATGACACTACAACAGACTGAGAAGTAGGAGCATTTTCAGGAAGAATTTGGTTTATGGAAGATGAGTTAACTGGATGTGTGTTCTTAGAACTAGGAGCTGCAGTCTCCACCTTATCTGAGCAGCGTCTTTTGGATGGTGATGGCTTGGTACCTGGCTTCGCTGTAGAAAGTGTGAAGAAAAATATAGTCAACCAAGGTGATTTCAGGGTGAAGCATATATTGCACAGAACAAAACAGGAATTATCCACATACGAGAGCAAAACTCCCCTTCTTATTAGGTAGTTCCCCATTATTTCACAACTCTGACTTACTCCCTGATGCCTCGCTTGCAAAATGATTTAGCAAATAATTGGAATGCTTGCAACAAAGCTGTTCTTACAAAATACCAGGAGTATTTTATTAAAAAGCCACAGGATATTGTGCAGGTACAAATTGAAGCCTCACTTTCAGCTAAACAAGCCAATGATCTTAAACATCTAATGTCTATTCTAGCGGGATATTGACAACTGGAACAAGCAGATGTAGGCATTTTTAAACAGAAGCCTGAAAATCCAGTTAAAGTAGCCCCCATCTCATGCTTGTGAGTGGTACCTTCTTCATTAGGTTGAAGGGGCTGGTTTCCAGTTTCTGACAAGGGTTCTCTGCTCCTTTTTGTTTGCATTGTAGGTCTCATTCCTCCTATCGGCCGCTCAGCCATTTTCTTCTGTAAATTCTCTCTCCTGGCACGGGTTCGCTCTAGAAGCTTCTAAATATTTCACAGTAGATTACCACAGGTATAATTTTCAATAAGCAATTGAAAGCATTATACAAAAGGGAATTCTAAACAGTGGGTTAAATCCAGACTATGTTTTCCAAGAGCAGAATGGAACTTTCCTTCCTCCTCGTTCCCACCACAGTACACTGATCTCCATGAAATGTTGCTTCTGGGGGTTAAGGGAGCCTAAGAAACAGCACAAGGGAGGTTTGCAGTGGGGAAAAGGGATCAATGGAAATTGCCAATTTAGACTGGATGTTAAATTTTAAAGCTTCTTGTACTCAATACAGTAAGTTCTGGTGTACAAAACTACTTGGTACAATAAAGCCAGTATCTAACATCTCCTTATGGGAAGTGTCTTATTGAGTACAAACTACTCAGGGAGTAGTATGCTAGCATGAACAATTCTGTGAGAAACTGGTCTATGAGAAATTTGATTTTCTTCCTATTCAAGGGCAACCTCACTGTATTAGTAACTGGAGTCTCTTACCCAGTTTTGTCCATCAAAAGAATGGACTACAGACTGGACCATCACCAACAGGTAACTCTCTAGAATTTGTTTCAAGTGGCTGAGCTATTGAGTAATACAATTCAAGTGTTAACAATGGATAAAGCTAATTTAAACCAATCATAATTATCAAACCTAATTAATAGGGAGAGAACTTTTCACGGCAGGCCAAATGAATTGTAATGCAACAGAAAAGAGGCAAATCACAAGCTATTCAAAACAGTAGCCACACTCTTTATTAACTCCAGAGTGAGCACTGCCACATCAAGGCTAATTATAATGTTCTAAAATTATACACACTAAATACTTTTAATAGGTGTAGTATCATGTTTCTTGTTAGCAAGCATGCCATCCGAAATACGTGGGAATGACTGGAGAGCATTTATAACCAGCAGGGGGGAGTATTTCCCTTGGCAGAAGGAGCCACAGCCAGCTCAGGAAAGCAAAGGAAGTTCAATAGTGATGGTTACTTTCTTCTGAAACTAATTTAAGCCTTTAAAATTATTCTGGTCATTTTTGATTTAAATGATACATTTTTAAAAAAAATCCCAGTAGCCAAAAATGTCTACCTTTGGAATGGTCACATGAATAAAGGTTATTCGGATGCAGAGATTAACTTGTAAATATACGTTAGTGCAAGTTTGAAATAGCAGCCCTTTAAAACCACGGTATATGGCAGCCACATTTCATTTTTCTGCGCCTATCTGTGTAGAAATGATACCCTACTTGTAACTCACCAAGAATGTCTAGTTCTAATGATTAATACAAAGGTTATTTTAAAAATCTTTCCCCCACCCTATGCCTCAGAGCAGTTAAGCATTTGGAGTACTATACCTTAATGCTAAGAGGTTAGCATCACAGCTAAAAATATAACATCATCCTGATGCAAAATCTTGCCTATCAAAGGAATTTTTCACTACCTGCAGAACTGGAAAGCCACTTGGTTTAGAACAAACAAAGCCTACTAGTGCTGTAAGGTAAAGGTAAAGTTTCCCTTGCTCGAAAGCCAGTCGAATCCGACTCTAGGGTTGCGGTGCTCATCTCCGCTTCAAAGCCGAAGAGCCAGCGCTCAATTTGCAACCTGCAGAACTGGAAAGCCACTTAGTTTAGAGCAAACAAACAAACAAAACCTACTAGTGCTGTACCAGTTCATAAAAAGTGCTTCAGACTTCATTAATCAACAGAAGATGAAAATTGTCTGTGGCAGTCTAGTGCAATTTCTTTTCCAAGAAGCAGTTATTTTATATATTTGCGCGCCCTCCAATATCGTGAAGTATTTGAATTAACATGACGCGGGCAAAGTCAGACTTGACGGCTGCACCCTGTCCTCGAAAACATTCAGTTGCATAAGAAGGTAAACTTTCAAAAGTATGGCACAAACGGCAGATCAATTTAATAGAGCATAAGACCAGTTTGAAACAGCTTCTTAAACTGCTTTATCTTAAATGAATTACATACTTAAGTTAAAATACCTGGCAAAAAATGCAGTTCAGATTGCTTCTGCTTTACCTACATCAGGCCAAACATCTAATCTGAGTTCATAATAGGCATCAAGGTCTTTCTCTCTTTTAGGAGAATGGGTCATGCTGCACCAATTTTAGGTTAGCAGAACTACAGTTAGGTTTCAAATCCCTTAGTTAGTTTTATGGCAATTAGAACATACAGAGATGTTTTAAAGACCTACAAGAAACACCATTATAGGGACTTTTAAACCCACATTTGAATAAAAAACAGAATATACAGACACTGTCTTGCAGATGGAAACTGTTTCAAGCTCTGAGCCTGTGTGTAAAACTGCTAAATGAGCCACTGTGATCAAATACAACTTGAGTTCCTTTTGAAATGTTATCTTTTTTAAAAGTCAGCTTTGGAACTTCCCCATGTCATCTTCTTAAAGTAAGTTTCAAGCAGGAAAATAAGTTTCAGTTGTAAAGACTGATCCTACTGGTCAGGAGCAAGAGTGCTGGATTACACATTTCATGAAGACTACTGACATGAGCTCAAAAGAAAGCTATTTGGATGTGCCACACCCATTTATTTTTTCCTTGACTCACTGGAAGAGAGGAACGGTTTGCACACATTTGAATAAGCTCACTAGCCAAACTGATTGCTGAGAAAGATGATTTGGACATTGCAAATCCCTGAATGGCTCCATTACTCGCATTATTATGGAATAGAAACATCTCAAGCCTGTACTTTTCACTTCTGCTGCCTTCATTATTGACAAGCCCACGGAAGGCAAAAGCCTCCCTCCCTGTGGTTTGAAAGAAGCCAGAACCACGGGTAACCAGAGATACCTTGCTTGCTAGCCGTGCACCTTCCGGCTATTTACTTACTGGATTTCTATGATATAAATCATATCCAATGTTCCCTCTAAGCTGTGGAGTCTTGTGAGCAAAAATCCTACTTTGTGAGCTACTGGCATTAAAGTTGTTAGCAAGCGATTTGTCTGCTGCATAAATTAGGTTGCCCTGGAGCCATCCTTCCTGAGCTAAGCCAAAAATGTGTGAGCCGGAGGCTAAAAAACTGTGAGCTAGCTCACACTAACTCAGCTTAGAGGGAACACTGATCATATCCCCCACCTTCCTCACCAGCGGGAGAACCCAAAGCAGCTCATCACTTCCACCTCTCCTCCATTTCATTCTCACAACAGCCCTGAGAGGTAGGTCAGACTGAGAGCGTGTCACTGGCCAGTTCCCACAGCAGAGTGGGGACCGGGACCTGTTGGTTCCAGATCCCGTTCCAACACATCATTCCCCTGTATTGTTCATTTTAACCCCCTCAGCATTTAAAGGCTCTCCCGCACCGCCCGAGGGGTGAGCGACAAAATTTACTCCTAATGAAGGCAGAACGTCAGAACTCAAAATAAGACACGGGTATAATATGCGTGCCACTCAAGCCAGCTTTTTTTTGGGGGGGGGGCATAGAGAGGGCAGCCGTATTTGACCGCAAACCAGACCCGCGTGGCTTTTGACGCAGAAGCCAGCCCCGGGGGTGCCGGAAGCGAGCTCTCTCCTTCCACACGCCGGACACAAAGAAACCTTCCCCTCCCCACCCACCCCCTCCTTCAGCATCCCTTCCATGCACACCAAGGTCCAGGTGCCCCTTCCCCCAGCAGAGCGATTTGCGGGCGCCGCGTACCTCGGTGAAAGGGTCCATGTCTGCAGGCACCGCCGACGGCACTCGCTCCGTCTCCTTCTCAGCTGGGTCCGTCTGAGGCAAGAGTGGTGACAAGCCGCCCTTCAGATTTGAATTTCAGCGCCTGCTGCCGCCGAGCCCCGCAACGCGCCTGCGCCCCGCCCACGAGCCGATTCCACTCGGCGCAGCCCGATCACGTGGGATGGGGGGGGAAACGAACGCCACCGAAGGAGAGTCTGTGCTGACAGGCCCTCCGCGAGCGCATGCGCGTCCTTTCCTACACTAGGCGCGAGCCAAGGCACCTCCCCCTGGACGTCCTCCTAGCGCTCTGTTCGCTGTTAACCTAAAAAGAAGAAGTCGGAAGAAGAGGATGACTGACATGAATCCCAGAGGTTTCGAAGAGTGTTTTCCACACGGGTTGAAGCTGTGGCGTCTTTTTAGACAGGCGTCTGTTATCCCCCCCCCCCCCCCCCCCCCCCCAGCAAAAGAGTTAGAACATCTGCATACAACATTAGCTTCTTCTCCAGCAGCAGAGAAGGCGGAGTTCACAATTCATCACCACTGTAATGTGCGGCACAGTTAAGAGTTGCCAGCCTCCAGGTGGCACCTGGAGATGTCCTTCTCAGCTGGGATCACAACCCATATCACAACAGAATTACAACAGATCACTTACGGTTTTATATCATATATTTTGTTACATAGATATACATAAAAGTTTTGAAGAAGGAAGGTCCTTAATTTCTGTAAAATTGCCCTCATACTAGTTTGGGCGGTTTTTTGATAATTATATTTTGATCTGTTTTCCCTATTCTTTTTTCTGTATCCCTTATAATAAAAATTATATTAAAAAAGAATTACAGCAGATCTCCAGATGATTTCGGCCTGTTAAGCTAACTGCAGAGGATCTGAGCAGTCAAGCCTTTGAGCTTGACATTGGATTCTGTGCCTGCCATACACACCATTCTGTTTTATCCGGTGTATTTATTCTGCAGCTACAACCAAAAAATGCAGTTTTTCATAATTGGGGTGAGAACGTTGCCTGTGACACGTGGGGTGGTGGTGTCCAAAGGGTTTTTTTTATTATTATACAGTTGCCGATAGCAGCTGCGCAGTAGCATCAAGGAAGCATCTTCCATTTAAATCCTCCTGGTTCAGTTCCTTGAACAAAAGGGAACAGGAAGCAATCCTGAAATTGACTAAACTAATTTTTGAAACTGACTAGATTAACTGCAAGGGCTCCCTTTTCTCATTGCCAGACTCTAGTGGATTCTCTGTTGTGTTTGGCCACTGCGAAAAATTTAAGAGTCACCCCCCCTCCACCCCTCTTTTATTGCCATACAAACGCCATTTTGAATTTAAAAAAATTATTTTCCTTGTGGTTTAGATTTTTTTATAAGTGATACAAGACTAGCGATTAAATGTTAATTTAATCCCACCCATATGCAAGAGAATGCACAGTAAAAATGCTTCCTTGCAGGTGCAACTTTGCACTGCCTTCTGCCACATGGAGACCATTGGTCTGATCCAGCAGGACTCTTCTTATGTTCTTATTAAATTCTTTTGACTTTTTGTTTCACTGCAAAAATATTTGGCACCAGAATAATGAGGAAGTAATATAGTTTAGCAGCAATGGCCAATTCTGAGACACGCCGTACCAAATTCTACAATATTCATTCATGTTTTATGTGTGACTAAAGCTGGACTGATGTCTTGTTTGGGTTCCTTTTATGTAATCCCAGCAGCTAAATTCTGAAATCTGTGGAACAGAAACCAAATGTACTGTGGGCCATTGTGTTATATTTTGCCAGCATTCCATGAAGTAAGAACAAAACTTTTCCCTGTCGTCCAAAAAACCATAGCTAGTTTTCCCAGGCCCTCAGTTCTGGGGCCCACTGAGCTCTCATTCAATTTCACTCAAAAGAGTAAAAGGAGACAATGATCCCTTTTACTTTTTGAACGTATATTCTTGCCTTCTGTGCCATCCAATGAAATATAATTTGCTGGCCAGCTGCTGCTTACAAATGAATTGTTCCTTTGAAAACAATACGTTTCCATGCCTGATAAAGTGCTGGACATTATTGCATTTTATTCTTAATGTACATTTACAGAGCTTTGCTGGTGTGAATCATGCAGATTAATTAAGAAAAGACTCCTTCTAGTTCTATACTCCCACAATCATTTCAGTGTTTGAAGAGCTCCACTTGACCTTGGTTCCCCATGGCAAATGGAACCATTCAGGGATTCAAAACTGGCAGAAATTTCTGTTTATATGATTGGCCATGGGTGAGGATGGAATCAGTTCAGCCACTCAGTCAAGTTCTAGCAAAAGTATACATTTGGAAAATAATAATGTTATATTATGTGCTAGGCTTGCTAACCGTGGCCCTCAGCCCCAATCCCCTACTTTCATGATCCTGGCTGGAAAATGGCCTCCATAATGCTCTCTAGGAATTTCCCCACATTTCTGTGGTCTGTACCATAGAGAGCAGGGGAAATCCCTACGTTACCCTGAAGTGACATCACGCCCTCTCCAGGCTCTGCCCTCAAAATTTCCCAGCATTTGCCAAGGCAGTGCTGGCAACGCTATTACATGCATGTTAGCATGTTAATGTGTTTTTCAAGGAAGAAACAGCAACAGGTGAGCAAACTGACTCATCCCCCCCACACACACACACACAGTTTTTACAGTCTTGAGTTTTCTTGGGCCACCAAAAGCAAGGGGGAGACATCTAAGATTAAACCATGGTGTAATGCTTAATGCTAGTTCCAGAGCTTTGTTGGAAGTTTGCTCTGTGCCAAACATGTTCCCCTGGATTTGGTTAAAAGTAATGCTACTAAACCTTTTCCCTAAACTGTAATGTCATTGTGAACCAAGCACAGAATAGAATCCAGTAGGATGAGTCACTGTGTGAGGTCATAGAAGCCTGAAAAGACAGTTCTAGAAAGCCAGTAGTGTATCTGTTATGGTCAGACACTAGCCAAGCAAAACCTATTAGGTGGACCTTTGAGCCCACTGGGTAGAGAGGTATTTGGCAGAATGAGGACTTGGAGTCTCATCCAAACTATAGTTATCCTGCTTCTGGTCTGACCTTCTAGTAGATGCAGTGGCAATAGGAAGAAGGAACCCAAGAAGATCAGAAGAATACAAATATATTTAAATGGAGGGTTTTAAATATATATATATATAATGCAGCACTCTTGCTTGCTTTACTTGGATAGCCAAAAGCACAGGGAGAAAGAGAATGTACTTCTGTGATTCTGTATTATGTTCTGCAGAGAATACCGCTCCTACAAGATTTGCATTTTAATTTGCTGGAATAATTTTATTTTGCTCAGGTAAGTCCAGAGATCCATTTGTAATTTTACTTGGAGAGTTGAAATCCTTCTTTCTAGGGTGGAGGTGAGATTTTTAAAGTATGGAAGCCTGAGGGGTTCACATGCTAGAAGCTAGAAACAAAACAAATGAACAAAACGGGAAAAAATGACCTGAACTTGCTGCCAAAACCTCTGATCCGCTACAGCAGAATTAGGGTTTTCAAAATAATCCCATTTGGGCTGGAAGGTCCTTCACTTCACAGGTAAATCGGTACGATCTGAATACATTTCTAGGGATGCCAGCCTCCAGATGGGACCTGGGGATCTTCCAGAATTACCGCTCATCTCCAAACTATGGGGACCAGTTCTGCCGGAGAAAATGGCTGCTTTGGAAGGTGGACTCTGTGGGATTGTACCCCACTGCAGTCCCTGTCCTCCCCAGGCGCCATTCCCAGATCTCCAAGAGTTTCCCAACCTGAAGCTGGCAACCCTACCACCTCCCCCCAGTAGCCAGAAGGGACCTGGCAATTCTAATTGCTTATAACGTGATTTCCTTCTCTAAAGTCTCTGGTACACCAGATTTCATATACGGGAGTCCCCCAATCTCATCAACGCTGTGACCAGTTTTTAGGGGGATCAGGTCTCCCACTACAATTGGGACACCTGACATTCAGTAGTATTGCCAACTCCAGGTTGGGAAATTCTTGGAGACTTGGGGGTCGATCTTTAGGAGGTCAGGGTTTGGGGAGGAGAGGGACCTGAGTGGGGTATGATGCCCTAGAGCAGTGATGGTGAACCTTTTAGAGACCGAGTGCCCAAACTGCGACCCCAAACCCACTTATTTATCGCAAAGTGCCAACATGGCAATTTAACTTGAATACTGAGGTTTTAATTTAGAAAAAACAACTCACACATTAACTTAAGATGATCCAAACATAGTAAGGAAAGCAATCCCAAATGCTTTCATTTACTTAAAATTATTTGGCAGAGAATTTGACACTTTAATGATGGTCTGGGCCTGGCTGGGGCAATGGCACGCATGCCCACAGAGAGGGCTCTGAGTGCCACCTCTGGCACCCGTGCCATAGGTTCGCCACCACTGCCCTAGAGTAAGCCCTCCAAAACAGCCATTTTCTCCAGGGCAACTGATCCCTGTAGTTAGGAAATCAGTTGTACTTCCAGGAGATCTCCAGGCCTTACCTGGAGACTGGCAGCCATACAGCACTGGATCCCTAGGGCTTTCAGGTCCCTCCTGGGCACCAGTTGGGGGTGAGGAGGCATAGAGTTGCCATCTCCAGGTTGTGAAACTCCTGGAGATAGCCTAGGGAGGTCAGGGACCTCAGTGGGGTACAATCCCGTAGAGTCCACCTTCCAGAGCGTCCATCTTCTCCAGGGGAACTGATCTCTGTAGCCTGGAGATGCGCTGTAATTCCAGGGGATCCCCAGGCCCCACCTGGAGTCTGGCATCCCTATGACCCCCTGCTTCACGGGCCAGTGGAGGGAAACTGGAGGGAGGAGTTCCAGCAGAGGCGTGCTGACATGCAACATCGCAACATCATTTTCAGTGCAAAACTGGAAGTGACATCATCGCACCAGGGCAGCATGCCAGGGTTCACTCCAAACGGTCTGTTTTAAGCAGATCTGGGGGGTGGCGATCAGAAAAGGCCAAACGTTCTCCTAGGAAGGTAGGTGCTGCTGAATGAGCGTTCCCTGAAGCACCTCCTGCTTCTATGAGGAGGAAGGAAGCCAGGGCCGCCTCGGCTTTG